AAGGATTCCTCCAGGCAGCAACCAGCCAGGCTGTGAAGCTGTGAGGCTATTCAATTCTAATCAAGCTGGCTAATTGCAACATTTACACACACAAAGAGTTCTTTCTTCCACCCTGGACATTATTCCATAAATCCCACTTGCCTAGTTTCCAACAGACTTCACAACCTCTGAGGATGCCTGTCATAGATGTGGGTGAAATGTCAGAAGAAAATGCTTCTGGAACATGGCCATAACAACATGGAAAATTCACAGCAACCCAGTGATTCCATCCATGAAAGCCTTCAACAACATATCCATTCTCTATTTAAAAATCTCCAGGGAAGGGGATTCCACCACATTCTGAAGAGCACATTCCACTGTCAAACAGCTCATACTTTCTGGATGTTCTTCCTGATGTTTGGGTGGAATCTCTTTTCCTGTAATTTGGATCTATTGCTTGTTATCTTTGTCTCTAAGAGAGGTTTTCATTCATCATTCCAACTGGGTGTCCAGTTCCCATGAAATTCAGTCAGGGATAATTATACAATGTATTTATTGTTTCAGATGGAAAAGGAGCAGCAAGGAGAAGCCGTGAGCGTCCCTCCTCCATCTCCGTCACTGCCTCAGAAGATTATTCTCAGAAGAGATCAGCCGTTAGCCTTTACAGCAACTGAGGATTCATTCAAAGACACCGCCAATCTAGTCAAAGAAGACTCTGTTGTATAACTAATTCAAACTGGGAATCTTTAGGCACAACCATTTGCACATATATTTTTATAAACAGAAGGAAAAAAATGGTTCACATCTCTTTATAAAGAAATATATTTAGCCTTTAGCTGGAGACACCTGTTGAAACCATGCCTTGTTGTTGTTTTTACAATGCCAATGCCTATTTTTATGAGCAATTATCACGGTGTACTATATGTATATCTTTGCACTGACACTCTCTGAAAGTAATGTTATAAATATACTGTACATTTGTAAATTTCTGAAAGATTATCTGGTCCTTGGATGTATTAGTATGACTCTATTCTGAAATTGTATCGTTAGGAATATACCCTCTGTATAAATGATTATATTGAATAATTTGGAGGGGAATGTAGCGGCCATCTACTGAGTTGCTAAGTCCTTTGGAAAGTATATTTATAGGCAGCACTCTGCTAAGTGGGTACTGGTGCTTTAGTGCATTTCTCCTCTCTGTGTGCTATACAAAAATATGTGAAAAATAGGTGCCTCTTTGTATGATTCTGCACAGAATATCCATAACTCTCCTGAGGAACAGAGCAAAACAAATGGCACAACATGTTTTTCTTGTACAAATATTTTGCCTGTTGGAAACAGAATGATTCTTTCCCTCAATCGCCCTGTTTTTCCCAAAGGGCCATTTTTGAAATGTCATTGCTGCTGTCCTTGGGAAGATAAGATGCTTTACATTTTCCCTGCTTTTGCCTTTTGAAATCATAGCATGCCCCCATCGCAGTCAATCATCAGTGGGATATTTCTGTTCTCAGTAGCAGTCTTTACAAATGTTTTGTCTAATGTTAAATCGATAGTATCCAGTGCCCCAAGATACTTGGTTTCTGTGCCGCAGCATGCAAATGGTGCTGGTACGCTTTCAAACGAGCCACCCTTCTCTTTTTTTATTTTTCATGTGAACATTTTTGATATTTGCTGACTATTTATTTCCTGAGGTGAGCAATAATAGAAAGGGAACCATTTTTACTGATACAGCCTTGTACTATGCATCTTGTTAGTTTTACTCAGGATTAGCTGGTAAAGTAAGCATTTTAACCCTCTAAGGAAAGTCTTGTGTGCCACTCCAGGAATGTCTAGTTTGAGCGGATGTTTAGTGTTCCTGGCCTAGCTACTCACATAACTCTACTGTTGGGTGTTTTTATAATATATATAATTCAGCCTAAGGTATGTATGTATGTATCTTTGTGTATATATATATGCATACCGGAATTCTCAAAGCTAAGTGCTAACCTTCTTTTAATATGGGTTTGTTACCTTGACATGTAATTCAACTAGGAAAAAAAAACTTGGAACATGATGCTGCTGAATAAATTTGATGTGTGTTTTATCATTTTCTGTGTTTTGTAACTGATTGAATGTCGTGCATGAAGCTCATCATAGTTGCAGGCAACAATATTGCTTATAAGTCTTGCAAAGCTCTCTTCCAGAATATTTAGGGCATAGAGTTAAACCAACTATTAATGTTTAATCAATGAACCTTGAGCAAACAGAACCTTTATCCACTCTCTATTCAAAACCATTGTGTGTATCAAATCAGGTACTGACCAAGAATTCTCTAACGGAAAAACATTTGTGTTCACTGTTTTGTGCCAAGACTCAGTGCAGGCAACTTTTTCTAATGCAGGGCTGAACTACGGGATATGTAAAATATGATTGGTCAAAAGTGTCCCTGGAAAGCCTCGGAGTGCATTTCCTTCATAACAAAGTGACTATACTTTTAGACTTGCTCACTTTTCCGACACATGATCTGCCTCAGTGTGGTGGCATCTCCTTCTTTGGAGGTTTTTCACAAAGGCTGCAGGATGTTGGAAGTACTTTGGGTGTTTACTTCTGCATGCCTAGTGGGGTTGGTTGGTCAGGATCAGAACCATAGCCAGAAAAAAAAAGTTTGTGGGGTGTGTGATATTTGTTTTAGCGAATCATGAAGAGTAGTTCCATAACACAAAATAATTTAAATAGTATGGTTCATTCTATGTTTTATATAGACTGAATTAAACCAATTTTCTGATCTCCTTCATGGGGGACTTCAAATCACTCCAATGCCTTAGGCTTTGCCTGCCAGTTATGGGTGGGCCAATTTGGTTACTTCCACTATATCCACTATTAGTGCAAGTAATGACTTTGAATAAATTGTCAACATTTGCTAGCGATGGTTCTTGTAGTTCTGGAGGGACCCGTTTAATTTTTGCTTCTTGTAGACTTAGCATTGGAATTTGGTTAAGCAGTTAAAATTCATGAGTAAACCAGTTTTTTAAACCTAAATGTTTTTTTTAGCAGGCCCGTAGCCAGGATTTTGATTCAGGGGGGGCTGAGTTTGATTTGGGGGAGGGGCTAAGGATCTACCCTAGCAAACCTTTTCTATCCCATACCGCTATGCATATGGGATATATTGGGCATGGTGATCAGATCATGATATGAATAAACATAACAATTTAATTAATGTACCAGTAAGGCCTTCTCGCAGACCACCCTGAGAATTTCAGGGGGGCAGGGGCTGAAGCCTCTCAAGCCCCCCCCCCTTTCCGGCTACATGCCTGCTCCTTAGGGTCCCTTCCATCTCAAAGGAGCTTGCAAAAAAAAAAACAGATCAAGATTCAGTATCAAAGTTTTAGATGAGTAACTAGGAGTTGTACATCTGTAAATTATCCATATTTACGATCCCTATATAGTCACAATAATGCTATTGTCATGATTGCCACTCCCCCCCCCCCCCTTCATGGTAAATCTAGTTTACCTGACATCATCCATGCCAAGAGAAGAGGTTAATTCTGCTGGTTATATGGGCAAGCAGACTACTTACTCCCAAGATTTTATTAGTGAAAGGAAAAGTTATAGGTTGGGCCAAACTAGAAAGACCTGGGAGGCAAAATGGAAGGGTCTTATTTCCAGAATAAAGGGGAAAGATAGAGGTAAGGAATGAAATAAGACTATCCTCATGATTGAACAATTATAATAAGCATATCCCCAAAAGTTGTAAACTGTTCCTGGGGTGGAGAGGGGGGAGAAGGAGGGGAAATGATGTAAAACGGGATACAGGATGATGAAGAAAACAAAATGAATACTTTTGAGAACCTTAGACAGATGGTTATGTATAAGATAGTAACTAGGAGAAAATGATTAAACACACAAACATACTGAGGTATAAATATAAAAAAATATAGGCAAGTGGATATTTTCACCCTCTCTCACCAGCAAGTAACTCGGTGGTAAGGACTTAATAGAGGGATCTTGATTCTGGTTGTTGCAGCTTCATTCTCTGGATGGAGGGATCTGTATGAAAAAGGTATCCATCCTCATCCCAGTCACCAATACAATGTACCTCCTTCTCTTGGTATAACCACTGGGAGGGAAGTCAGACCAGACATTAGTACAATGTATGTGAGTAGCTCCCATAGAATTCTACAATCGAGAATGACAACTAACTGCCTGTTCAGTGATTATGATGTCACAACGCTGCTCGCTTGTACACTCACTATAAAGTAGGCCCACGTGTTATACAAGGGATCCATTCCAGCACCTTTCCTGTAATGCAGTTTTCACATTATCTATAAATTGTTCATATGTGAGATGAACAATACCTTCCAGCTGAAGGTAACATAGAATTGATTTGGAGGACTTTGAAAATATCCAGAGACGTGTTCTCTGGTTTTCCTGCACAGGCAGTTCTGATGAACGTTGACCATAGAGTTCCTCTGGAAGTCTAAAGAGAACACCCCTTTAGGCATCTTTTAGGTCCTTCCATTGTATTCAAAACTCTTCATATATAAATGAAGCTCCATGCAGTGAACTTGCATAAGTGGCCTCCTGTATATGCAATCAATAAAAGCCCCCCCCCCCCAAATCTGTCTTTTCAGCAGTTCAATGCCATGTCACATGTCCCTTTCTGTGTTGTTTGAAAGTGGTAGCTAGCACAGACACATCCAGTCCTTTTCCTGCAGGTGCAGGTTTTGGGGATAGCATCACAAGATGTAGCTACAGAGGCATAGCTAATCTCCCAACATAGGATCTTGGCCATTGTCACAAGAAAATGGATACCTTCTAAGAGCTGGGTGGTTTCTCAGATTTATGGGGTGGAATTGGGCATTCTTCCAGATATAAGAATGCAAGGTCCAGCAGCCATGCCAAGTGAACGGAATGTTATACAGTATCCAATTATGGGAAAGAGGTACATTGTATAATGAGAATGATGTGGCAATAAAATATGAGAGGTACAACTCGTGACATTTCTGTTCACATTTCTAATGAATGCAACAGGAACATGGAAATTTTGATCCTCCTGATAGTTTAGACTTTAATGCCCACAACCCCAGGTTAGCAGTCAGTAGTGAAGGATTGTGAGAGCCATCCAAAAGGTTTCCCAGCACTGGTTTACAAGATATGCACATTATCCCATGTGAGGAAATTTAGGGGTTGAATGCCAATACTTGCACTTTGTCACAGGATTGTGTGGGTGAGAAAAGAAAGAGAAAATGTCAAGTCCTTTGAGCAGCTTATGGTGCCAATGCCTTGACTTATTGCTTTTGTGGTCACAGCACCCATGGCTGGTTCACTCCTTGCCAGCATACATCCACTTATGTGACGACCAAACAGGCTTCTCTCCTATGTTGCCATCAGAGAATTGGAGTAACAGGGTATAAATAGGATTTGGATAATATCATATGAACATTCATCTGCTTCAAAACACTGGTAGACTGTGGGTCAAACATCAATTTGAAACCTGGATGCTGGGTTCCTCCCATCTCTTGGCAATGGAAAAAGCATTCTCAGTATCATATCTGACAGAAATGTGGGGACATAGGAAAGTGGAAGCCACAAAAGCTTTGCATCCCATCCAACTCCATACCGTGTCCTTGGATACTTTGCGGTCAAGGCATGCTCCATACATCGTGTGACCTTTGAAAGATCAGCATCGCAAAGCCTGTTCATCAATAATCTTTGCATCCTTAAATCTGCTAGAAAAAAAACAGATAACATAGTGAAACTTTGCGTTTTAAAAAGTCAAAAGGGAAGGACACAAATATTTGGCCCTTAAATAAAAATACAAACCACTTTCATTATGCTTTCCCCCATCATATCTATTTTATTTGCTGTTTGCTAATCTCAACACTTCCATAATTTATTGAACAACCACCAGGCTATTATAAAACACAGGCAAAGATCTTTCTTGGGGATCTTCCATAGTGGGAAATTCAAACTGGTTATTCAGAATTGCAAACAGAATTACCATTTTACAACTACAACTTAGCCTAGAACATGCCTAGAAATGGAAACTAGAGCCCTATAGCTGCATAGCTGTGCTCTTGGCTTAATATATAATATTTCTAGAAAAGAAGGGATTTGAACTGGGTGAATGAAAGGCAGGGATTTGGTACAAACCAATTCCACAAAACCACAGGTTTCATGTGCATCTGAGTATTACATCAAATTCTTTTAAAACCGGGTGCACGGCTTGGGGTGTGTCTCTATGTGTCAATGCAGAATTGGTCCAAACATTGCTACTTAGCACTTACACTTAATGAAGTATTTCTCCCCATATGAATCTCTGACTTCTGGAGTCAGTTGGTTCCACAGCCTGAACAATTCTCTCTCAATGGATTCTAAATGAGTTACTCCAGTCTTAAAGAATCCTGGCTCGATAATGCTCACCTGTACTCCAAAATGATACATGTCTCTCCTAGGAGGAAAACACAAAATGATGATCCCATAGGATAGTTTTTCTCAATTCAAGCACTAATACAAAAACGTTCAAGTTATCGTTAAGAGGAAAGTCTAGAAATGACGGCTTTCTCCCAGAACATGGCTCCTCATCAAATGAATTAAAACAAATGTATGAAAAGGAAAATGTACAGTTGAGAAGTGGATGAAGGAGAAAAACACTAGCTGCATATTTGGGGTTTATTGTGTATTGCATTTACAGTAGAACCCTATTGTGTGTTACTTTTTGGATTATATTTTGCTTACTCATAGAGTTCAAGTGGCTAGGGATCACTCACAGAGTTCAAGTAGGTCTGTAGTTTTGCCCCTAGTCATGACAAAGTGAGGAAGAGCTTGTCAGCCATCTAGGAAATGGTTCTGTTTTACAGTCAATGTATATGTGTGCATAGGCCTCACCTGCCAACTTAATATAACCCCATGCATTTCAATAGCTTTTCTTGGGTAACTAATTCTCAGATGTGGTTTTGCAAGTTCCTTTCTCTGAAATTTAGCCTATAGCTGTACCTGGTATTCTTTGGTGGTCATCCATCCAAATACTTACCAAGTCTGACCTTGCTTCCAAGATCAGATGGGATTTGATGCTTTGGGTATTTATGCCCTTTTAACTGTCAATAACTTTATCTGAATGTTCAACTGAAATCTAAGATCCTCTAACATAAGCCCATCAAATCTAGTCCTATTGTTAGCTCCAACTAGAGCAGACTTATACTGTTAGTAGAGAGGTTGATTCATCATTCAGTAACTGACTTGGTGGATCTACTCTTGTTGGAATTAATTGATAGGTTTCAGGCTCCCAGATCAAAAAAAAAATCTACAGATAAATAATGGAGAATAAAGTGGAACTATTATAACCTTTTACAATGATAAAGTGTATGGTTCAGTAATAGAGAAGGTTAAACGGCAGCTTTATTGGTTAGCCTCCTGTGGAAGGGGTTTCTACAGTCTGGGCAAAGCCACTGAGAAGGTTGCCTCTCATGCCTTTACTAAATGTACCTGCAATATGGTGAGACAGAAAGAAAGCCTTTCTCTGAATATTTCAAAGCCTAGGCAGGCTCATATGGGGAAATATAGGCCAAGGTACTCTATGAATATTGGTGGAGCATTTTTCTCCCAGGTGTTCTCTCCCATCCCACATGTACTGGAGGAGGTCTAAGAGGTGACATTTCCCCCCAAAGCTGCAAAACTAGAGCCAGACTGTTCCCAGCATCCCTCCCCTCCTAGACACAGATTGGCCAAGGGGAGGAACAAGAGCCATCAGCTGGGGTTGCATGTAGAAGTGTCACTCTGCAAGGAGGAACTGGATTCCAAAAAGGTCATATGGGAGATGATACTAGTCTGTGCTATCAACTCTTTCAGATAGTCTGTGTCAAAGTTATATAAGGCACTCTGAACCAAGCCTGGAAACAAACTAATGGCCAATCAATTTCTGTTTTCCTCACAACCCACTTCTGTTCTAGTGATGCCACTGCACTGGGCTGCAGTTTGTGTTTGATCAGGTGTCAAACAGTTTTCCCTGTTTGACACCTGATGCTCTGGCTTCTGTCTCACTTGTTTAACCACCATCATCTACCAAATAAACAATTCCCTTGCAAGAGTTCAGTTAAAAAAGCAGATATAGTGAATTAAAACCTCAGTCCTCTTTCAAAAACTCCTACACATTCAAGAAGACACAACCTGTGCAGGACATTCCCTAGAAAATAGTTTAAGTGCTCATGACTTTGACTTGTTTGTCCTGTATCTCTAAGAATTCAAATTCCAAAACTACAGAACAGTTGACTATTACAACATCTCCCAATTTAGCATCCTCCATACTAAGTTGGGAGTGAATGGATCATAATCATTCAACCCCATTTGTCATGCTGATCAGGGAGTATAGGATATATAGTCCCAGTATACCTGTAGGATAATTAGTTGAGAACTAGTGTATCATATAAACAGTTGTACTTAGAAACGACATTTGAGTGTGTTTTAATCAAAATTATACTATAGATCATGATAGCATGAGTTGCTAGATGTTTAAAAGTTTGACCCCAAAGGCCTTAAACTCAAAATCTGTTATCCTCAAATCTACAGGGACTCACCGCAGACTATCAGAGAATGCCTCCACTCCGCACTTTGACACACAGTAGCCACCGCCAATGCATGCCAATCGGCCCAAAACACTTGACACATTAACTATTCTTCCTCTAGATTTTTTCAGAAGTGGGAGGAGCTTCAAAGTGACCCCAATAAGACCCATTAGATTGACATCCAAAGTGGCGTGGAAATCTTCCAGCTGCATCCAGTCAGTGGGGGCCATGGGCATGGATCTCCCAGCATTATTGACTAAACCATACAGTCCTGCAGATAATTTTAGAAAGGATAATTTTGTCAGCATGTAAACTGAAGGAATGAGTAATGTCAGGTCGGAAACCTGTCCCAGAATGTTGATTCAATCATTTTAACAAGAAGAATTTTGTATATAATGTGGAAACAGTGCATATTTTATTGAATTCAGTTAATGTAATAAATGTAATAAATCTAAATTGTAAGATATATAGAGCTTGGAAACAACAAATACTCTTTTAAAATAGAATTTCCCAGATTGATATCCAACAGAAGACAATAGGGAAGAAGGTGACTAAAGGATTGACTCAAACAAGGAAGTCATCGCTCTGAATTTGCAAGACATGAGAAGGGCAGTTGATGACAGGACATCTTGGAAGTTTCTCATCCATAGAATCACCATAAGCTGAAGCTGATGATGACAAATAACAACAAACTCCAGCCCTTGGATTTTCCTTTCCCCTATGGTTATTGGTTACAGAAACTGGAAATCCTTGCCAACTGAGTACCAATAAACCCACAGCTACCTTCTGTCCACCCCAGACCCTGAACAAGGACATAGAAGCTATTGCCTTACTATCTTCAGTCTTGTATCCATTTATGCATTAAAACAAGAACAGAGTAGCAGCTCTTAGTTCAAAAAACTAAGTCCAGACAGTACTGCAGTCCAGACAGTATTCCCATGGTTTTCAAGGCTACATTAACCCAGAAAACTGTGGGAATACCAAACCTCTCCCCAAAAGCCTCCCAAAACAAAGTTTAAAAAAACAAACAGACAGACATGCAAGACAAACAGGTCCACTATTACCAAAGTAGAACAATGCCAAGCATATATTTACAAGATACAATAAGCAAAAATCTACAATAATCATAAGTATGTTGTGTTCACAATATTGATTATAGTCTTTTGAAGAAGTAATGATCTCAATTATGAAGAGCTCTTCATAAGTTCTTCTGGGTTTTTTTACTCTGTTTTGGGGGGTTCTGGGAGGGGGTTAGGATGTCCTGGTGTTCTCCTGGGCATTCACAGAAGAACATTTGGACACCCACCCCTGAAAGCACACACTTTCTGGGGTGTGTGTAGATGGGCCCCCAGGAAGATCCGTGTTTTTTAAACACAGATGTTCCTGGGATAACGGCCTGTCTGGAAACGCCCATGTCAAAAGCAGTACGAGGTCATCCACAGCAGTCAGCCAAAATAAGAGTGAGACACAATAGTTCAAAATTTCCAAAATGTTCAGAGGCAAGTAATCAAAGCTACAAGCCCAAAATTTAATTCACATAATGAAGTCAAAATCCATTCTAGTCAAGGTTCACGAGCAGTGATTCAGACTGTAGCAATTTCACTGACGTTGCTTCCAGCACCTAGCTGATCCAGTCTCCAGCTACTTGTGCTACTTTCCCAAGTGATCCCACCTGTTGGCCCTCCTCTCAGCCAACTGACTGTATCTCCTCAGTTGTATGGCATCAGTTCTTAATTGCAGCCTAGCTGGAAAACTTACCACATCATCATATAGAGACTTGGAAGCATCCTATCACACGATGTAAGGCTACTTCAAGCGGGATTCCATAGAGAAAGCATTCTGGCAGCATGCTAGGACGAACATGCACGGGATACTTCCCATGTTCTTATTGGGAGGTTCGATAAAAGTAGTTACAATTCTCAGTGAGTTTTCTAGTTGTTCATCAGATATTTTGGTTCAAATTTTACTCTTTGTGTGCTTCATCCATAGAAATAGTTGCTCACAAATGTAGCTGCTGCCAAAAACTGATGCCATGAATAAGGTGTTATTGTGAAGTGGGGGATATCTATCTAGTTAATTTTAACAGTTTTTCATTTCTTCTTGTTGAACTGTTTGCAAATATAATGAGAATTAGAGATTATTTTCCAATATTTGTGAATGCAAAGTACTTTGATTATTCCATTCCAATCTATGAGGTTTGTGCTTGAGAGCCGCACAATTGAGTTCCAAAAACAATTGCAAAATATATTATAATTGTGTTGGGCTGCATTCATAGCTGTCCTGGACAAGACTGATTCAAATGTACACTGCATGACCCCTGTATCCACACTACCAAAATTTCACTTACCCATGTATGAAAAAATACATGCTCTCATTTTCTAGTTCCTCTAGTGTGATTCTATCATATGGTTCTGCTGGAAGTTGACCATAGAGTCACAATGGGAGCAGGGGGCTCTGTAGGCATTTTCTAGGACCTACAACACAATTCTATGGTGTATTTCTGCCAGAAATGATTCATTTCAATAGGTTTTGATATTATCCATGGTTTTCAATTTCCACAGTACATTCAGGAGTGTATCCTTTACAGATATGAGTGTACTGTACTGTGTTGAGTCTCTTTATGGAGAGAAAAAGTGGGGTATAAATAAACATATTATTATTATTATTATTATTATTATTATTATTATTATTATTATTTGTTTAAGGAAAACATTGATCGTTCATTCAGGAGGAGGAAAAAAGTCAACTATCTTTTTCAGAGATTGATAATTTACTTTTTCTGTTCAGAATTCAGAATCTCCAAGCTAGCATGGTCTTTAGGTTCTGGGAATTGTTGTCTGCAAAAGTAATATTTCTAAGCTGATCTTTTAATTTTTAAACTTAAGCTATGTAGTTATTGAAAAATATGGGAAATTGCTCTGAAAATGAAATGAATGTAACATCTGCGGAAAGCTAAGGAACTCAATCTGTCCCAAGATGGACAGTGGGAGCTGCATCAAATCTTTGCTTGTAAATGTACTTGGGAGAAATGAAGGTTTAGAGGAAGAAAAAAAGCATATAATAAATATACTTGGCTTATTTTGTTTATGTCTTATTTGACACCTGTTCACAACTGCCACTTTCCATTATCTGCAGCTTCAGTATCAATTAAAGCAAACAAGAAAATGTAGCATTCCCAATTACAGTCACTACCAGTTAGGAAAATATGCAACTTGATGACATCACAATTTGGTTTGGGACAGCAGAAAATTAATTGGGATTGCTCTTGCCAAACTGAAATAATTGGGAGGACTGAATGAGTAGCATTTGTATGCCTAAAGGGTTTTCCAGGCTACTCCATGGAGTACCAGGAGCACAAGCGCTCTCTGAATAATAATAATAATAATAATAATAATAATAATAATTATTATTATTATTATTATTATTATTATTATTTATAACCCGCCACCATCTCCCCGATGGGGACTCAGAGCTTACATGGGGCCAAGCCCAGACAACATATTACAGCAATAAAATCAAAACATAAACAACAAACAAAAACATCATCATCAAAGTACATTAATAATAATAAGAAAAGGATAAAGAGAAAAAAAGTAGTCTTAAAATAACATTCTAATAAACACAATCATGATAACGATAACAATGGGCGAGCCACATGTACAGGATAAAACAATTTAAAAACTGTGATGAGATAAAATAGTAGAGCGCCCTTCCATTGCCCGAACCTCCTTCAACTAGGGATGTGGATGGGTCAGCCATACAAATATTTTTGTGATCAAATATGATGGTTTCATCCCATTTCACCTTAAAGTAGAAATATTAACATTTCACCACCTTGCTATTTCTTCATCTGAAGGTGCTTCCTCACCGTTTGGCAAGTGTTTAACTATTGTGTCCTATGGTCCTAAAATATGATTAGCTTGTCTTTGGAAAGCAAGACAGTGTTATAGAAATGGGAGTGTTGGTAGGTTCCTGAGTGACAAAGATATGTGATGACACCTAGGTAGAAGATGGCCCCCATATTTGCAGATGATATATCCCTGAAAGTAACATGGAAATAGGAAAAGTGTATAACAGCAAACCCTACTGAAATGAACAACTTCCGCTGGAAGTTACCATAGAGTCACACTGGGGAACCTGGGAAATTCCTAGAGGGGTATCTTCTTTAGAAATATCATTGGTCCTTTAGGATGACTCTATAGTAACTTCTGGCAGAAACTACATTATCACTTTACAAACCTGGAAAATTCTTAGTGGGGACATATTTTGTCAGATGTAGAGGTGTGACCACAGGTACCAGTCCTGTAGGTTTGGTGATCATGTTGCATCTTCCAGTACTTCATAGTTGAATAACCATGTGTAGCCAAGCAACAACAGACCGTGATCAAAATGGGAAAAGTTCTTGCCAAACTTTTATAATAAGGCAATGAGGCATGAAAAAAACAAAAACAAAGCTTGGCGAAGCTACAACACACAAGCTTGGCGAGGCTACTGCCATTTGCTTTTTCTTGAGCCTATGTAGAAGGGAAAGATCCTTTTCCTTCTACTAAGTAAATTGATTTTAGATTACTTTTGCACTTTGAACTCAATTTGCAGCAATTGAAATCAGCTGAGGACAAAAGGGTAAGGAGGGAGGAGAAGAGAGAAGCAGAGACATTTTGAAAGTCTCTGAAAAGTGGGATGATTGTGGATGAAGAAGTACAGTTTTTGCCAAATTGGGAAAGTTGAACTGTATGCACTTACCTATAGCCCCAGTTTCCTCTCTCACAAACTTCACTGCCTCATCAATACTGGAAGGGTCAGTCAGATTGAGTATTACTGTTTTCAAGGACTGAGAGGTGTTGGCCATCAGCTCCCGACATCCCTTCTCTGAGAGACAAGCAGCAATGATGTGGAACCCATTACTATCAAGGTGTTTAGCCAAAGCACAGCCAAAGCCACTGTCACATCCAGTTATGAAGACATACTTCCCACTCAGGTTTTTTTCTTTCAGTCTGTCTCTGATGAGCCAGCAAATCATGACGGATAGCACCAGAATGCCTGCCCAATCTCTATCTGAAAGCAAAGGCAGTCAACAAAAGAAAGACAGCAGTAGCTGTTACTGACACAAACCATAAACCAATCCTGGTCTTCAGAAGAGGCAATTGTTCTCTATTTCAGCTTCACTAGATCCTCTTTTAAATTCAAAAAATTGGCATCTAGAGCTTCTGGCACACAACCAATGATATTCATGCTTTGCCTGAGCTCTCTTAGAGTTTATTTTCAATAGCGCTTTATTGTTTTCAAGATCCATCTACTTTGCCTTGGTTACTTCCTCCAGTCTCAAAAACCCTTCAGCATGGAAAGAGAAATGTATTCATGTTAGGAGGCCATTACGCTATGGGAAACATGATTATTCAGGACAATGAGGCTGAAGGGAGAGGGAAGGGGGAAAGCAGGGGATGGTAAGCAATAGGGCAGAAAGAAGGGGAAAGCACAGTTTTCAAGTGCTGTTGAAGATCAAATTCTGTGTGTTTTTACTACACATAGCACTCTTTTGCTGTGGAACTTCATGACTTTGAACAAACAGCAAACTTGGAGCTCTTGTGGTGAGTGACAATTTTTTTAATTCCCTTTGCCTGTTGGTGGTGACATCTGTTGTTTTGTTTTCTGCCCTTTTCCCCATCTGATGGGGACGGGGACAGGGCACCAATGTGCCTTGTCTCCTTCCCTCCTTGTGATGGGCGATTGCTGGCAAAACGGAGCAACAGGGAGGAACTGTTAGTAGTAGTGGTAGTGGGGGTGCCCATAAACAAGATCCAATTTCATTTTGAAATCCATGAATCCATGAATTCACTCATGTCTGGAGGAACAAGGAAGTTAACTATTTCCTTTTTTAAAGGGTCACAATTTTACTATGCCATTGTGCATAATGGGATTTGAGCATCCACAAATATTGGTAGCCATGAGAAGTCCTGAAACCAAACTCCAGAAGATACTGAGGGCTCATTGGAGATGGAAAGGGCAAAGATGATGGGAAAGCATTTACTTCTTCACCCCAAATTTCACAAGATATGTGGGATCACAACTCCAAAGAAATAAACTTTATCCCTCTCCCCAGCAACAGTTAACCATGTATTTTGAACATGTATCAATTAATACAGCCTGGAAAGACCTTCTGCATGGCTACTAGTATGACAGCAACTAGGTAGTACCCCCAGTATCAGAAAAAGCAAAGTTGTGAATACTAGTTGGTAGGTGGAGACATGCCGCAGTAATCCTATACTGCTTGTCAGCTTCCTGGGGGCAATTGGTTAGCCATTGTGGCAGCACAAACATGGACTAGTCCAACCTCGGGCCCATTATTCTAGTTGGTACAGAAATGATTTGACTATATATCAAATCGGTAAAACCAGAATCATAGCAGAAGAGCTGAAGGTTCTCCTTAACGAAAATATGTAGCTCTTGACTACCTCTTCTTCTAGATCTGTTGTTGTCACAGTTGTTTTGTTGTTTTAAAAGAGGAAGTGATACGGCCAAACTTCCTTAGAGAGTTTCATTGCATGAAGCAGATTATAAATATTACATTGCACACCATAAAATCTTGCTGATTTGTCATGAGACTTTAAAATAGGGAACAGAGACAATTGGATTACGGGCTTTAATTGCAGGGATAGTAAAAAATAAATCCCTTATCTTAAAATATTTATTTATTTATTTACAGTATTTATATACCGCTTTTCTCACCCTTAGGGGGACTCAAAATAGATAGCTGTAGACAGTAAAACAGCTCGCAAAAGTGAAAGACAAAACTTTAGATGTGGAGGAACAGTAGGCATTGCCAATGCATGCACTGTGTCATAAATTTATTTATTTATTTTTTAAGAACTTTTAGAACTTTTATATCCCGTTCTTCTCTACCTCCGTGCAGGGACTCAGAATGGCTAACAACAGCAAAAATTCAATGCTACACAATAAATAACATTTTAAAAACAACATACATAATAAATAAGTTATAAAATACATATAAAAGGCAGTTCGCTGAGTTAAAAACATCATCCAACTCAATCCAAACATTGTGGTCCAATAAATCTTAGTCTTTTAAAATTCAAAGCCAGTTCATACATTTGTTTCAGGAGATTTCTAAAAGGCATCTGTATATTTACCACACAGAAGCATAACCTTTAAAATGATCTCTCTGACTTAACCAATTACTCAAAGAAGTTATCAAGTTCTAGAGGAGCAGGTGATTCCCTTGAAATGTTATCAGCATCCATTATAGCAGAGTTGAAGTGAGCAACTCTAGATCTCTTGGTGATCTTTTAATTGCTTAATTCCAAATCCATTAAAAAAACAACAACAAGAATATCCTGCTGCCTAGGGGAAAGTGCAGATTACAATCAAAATAAAAATAGGCAAGATTTTAAATGAGCCCTACCCATCTTGCACAATGCCAAGCTATGCATAGCACACCAGTGTCCACCCAAGGCATTTGGCTGCCTAAGGTAGAGGAGCAAAAGGTATTTCTCCCTTAAATAATAGCTGAAGCCAGCTAAATCATGTTGGCACCTGAGGTGGATAATCCTGCAAGTATGTCTCTCATATCATCGGCAGTAAAACTATTTTGTGATGAATTAAAAATGAACAGTTTGTTATCTTTTCATGATGTCAAAAATCATCTTCCCAAAGCAGCCATGCTTCACTATCCCTAATAGCAGGACTGGCCCTGTTGTACACTCACAACAACCATTTATTATGGTTTGCTGAAAACTTTTCATCATACCATTCCTTTTATTTGTGCAGGCTGTAATATTATCAAGCTCCTTGTGGACGCCCATCTGTTTATTTCTTTAGCTCACTTTTGGAAATCACTGTGACAATCAATTTACATTGTGTGTAAGATATATTATTTTTCAAAGGTATTCATGATTCCAGGTGTTTCTCCCCCCTGATGCTTGTACTTACACTTTACAAAGGTGTCTGTCCAGCTCATTGTAAGATCGATGGGTTTATTCTGTTTTCAGAATAGATGCTAGCTGGAATTTCATTTCTTGGGGCTTCTTAGTAGCATTGTCTGTAGCGTTCTGCTTCTTCAGCAACCTCAGTATAGCAATTACACTGGCATTTGCTGGCAGTGCACAGGTATAGCACATCTTAGTGCTGATGATCCCAGCTAACCTCTTTAGTGAGGATTAGTCTGGTTTCTACTTTGAATGCTGGTCTCTCCTAAATCTGTTGCCAATGGGAGCATAGGCATCTCAAGTTAGAATAAGCTCTAAAAATTTGGGTCTTACATTCAGAACTTTCTCCCTGCATCCCCCATCCGTGCCCTCCCTCCTGTCATCTGTTTGTGGAAATACTTGAAAAGATTCAACTTGGTCCCCACATTGGGATTGTTCCATACACAGGGTTCCTAAGGGCTGTTGGTCACTTCCTAGTTGGTCTTGAGTCCTGATATCCTTTGGACTAAAACTGCCACAAACCCTGACCATTGGTATCAAGCTTCTGAGACTCAAAGTCCAAAGGTTTGGTGGAGAAGAAAGTTCCTTACCCTTGGTGTGTTACTGATTGGAAAAAAATCAGCAAGACACATTTATAGCACAGAAATAATTTCACATCATTTCAAATTTCGAATCCGGGGAGAGCGTGAATGAGCTCCCTCTGTCAGCTCCAGCTCCCCATGCGGGGACATGAGATAAGCCTCCCACAAAGATGGTAAAACGTCAAAACATCCGGGCATTTGGGGGGGAAAAAAATCAAATTCTGAAATAAATCTTTTCATGTCAGATTTAACATTTTCCTCTCCTGCAGGCTGAACACCGTATTTGTAAAACCCATTACAATACTTCAGGTATGAGAGCTTTGTAATTTATTTATTTATTTATTTATCATGTCAGGGGCAACCAGACCATTGTATTACATTTCTAACAGAACAAAACAAACAATCAGACAGACAAAACACAAAGTTTGCAAGCTTGGTAGTTGATTAAATGTCCTTTGACCAGTATCTGGCCACTTGGAGTGCCTCTGGTCTTGCCGCAAGGAGGTCCTTCATTGTGCATGTAGCAGAGCTCAGGTTGCATTGCAGCAGGTGGTCTGTGGTGTGCTCTTCTCCACACTTGCATGTCATGGATTCCACTGGAAGTTGTAGTTCCTTCCCGGAAGGTGGGACCACAGCCCAGCCGAGGGAGCCTTCGCATGAGGAGAGCCCTCAGCTGGGTTGCGGCCTTGCCGGAAGGTGGGACCGCGGCCCAGCTGAGGGAGACTTCGCGCAAGGAGAGCCCTCGGCTGGGTTGCGGCATTGGGGGTGGGGCCTAAGGAGGCGGCTTCGCGACCCCTCCAAAATAGCCAAATGACTCCCCTGGGGGTCGCGACCCCCAGGTTGAGAACCGCTGATATACAAAATGTAGATACTGAAAAAAAAATTTTTGTTTCATAAGCAACATGTTTTTTGAAATGTGACCAAGATTCAGTAGTACGGTATTCAAAGTGTTTGTCTATTTTAGTAAAAAAAAAGTCATTGTTATATGTAGTGATTAGTTATTATATGAGACGCTGAGGATTTATGTTTTTATTGGTTTTTACTGTTTCTTCTAAATCTATGATTCTGTGTGTTCTCCTTCTTCTTTTTTCCAGGCTCTCCATTGTGTCGTTTGTAGGTAATACACATTTGGCTACACATTTTGAACCACTTGAATAGGAAACGGAGGGAATCTTTTTTTTTTTTTTTGGTATAATGTCACTATTTATTTCTTTTAACCATATAACAAATTTACAACTGCATTGCAATATTATGTTGCAAGGCTGTACTAGTTAATAACTGTGACGGTGAGTTCCATCTATGCCAACTGGAGCTTGGATTTATAAGATTAGCTATCCGATGTCCAACTGACTGTTTCTTGTAATTATTCATGTTCTATCTGTGCATGATATGATACACTAATGACTTGGTCTCATACTATGAAATAGATTTTCAGAAATAACTGCTTTATGTAGTCTCGTGGTTGAACATGCAGTTCTTGTGAAATAATGAGGGAAGTGTTTCTCAACACAGGTAAAAGTTTCGCATGGGATGGCATTAGCAACCCATCTGTTTAATTTTTGTTAACTGGACAAATACTCCATTTGGTTATTTTAATTGTGTTTTTGTTTGATGGATTGTTTGTTTATTGTCTTACGGACATTGGTTCCATGTAAGCCACCTCGAGTCCCTTTGGGGAGATGGTGGTGGGGTATAAGAATAAAGTTGTTGTTGTTGTTGTTGTTGTTGTTGTTGTTGTTGTTGTTGTTGTTGTTGTTAAAAGCACGATATAAATGATTCTTGGTACTCTAAGAGTGTCAGATTCTGTCTGATCTTAGAAGCTAAGCAAGATAAGGTCCGGCTAGCTGGGGGACTGGGGGACTTTAGCTGGGGGGCTGCCAAGTGATACCATGTGCTGTAGGCTACATTTCAGATGAAGGAAATAATGAACCAGCTCTGAGTATTCCTTGCCTAAGGAAACCTTAAGAAATTTATGAAGTTGTCATAAATTGTCAGAGAATTTGAAAATACATACAGTACAGTACTACTCTATATCTGTGGAGTATATTTTCTGGACTTTGAGTGGAAGTCTCAGATCAGGGGAAAGCCTATTGAAATGAAGAACTTCTGGACTAAGAATATCATAGAGACCCCTTCTACACTGCCTTATATCCCAGGATCTGATTTGAACAGGTACTTCCTTCTATCTTTTTTCTGCTAGCATTGAAAAACTGTGTTGCTTCATAATCCTTGCAAATTGTCACAAGAGGTCACTGTAACGCTATCCATTATACAGAAATAAAATACATCATAATCTGATACAATAAACAGAACTCTCCTGAAATGAAATGTTATCTCACTGTTTTCTTTTCATTGTAGAAAGCAACAAATGTCACTAATTTGCAACTAGTCAAGGGAAACTTTACCTTGCCTTTTATTCCAGCATTTTACTTACATTGAGAAAAATGCAGAATATTCCATTGGGACTTGCTGGAAATGATAAACAAATGGTTATCCTATATCCACCCTTTCTTTGAATAAATCCATAGAATTTAATTGTTTTACTTCTAAGTAGACATACATGGGATTGTGCTTTTCTAGTGTTTCTAGTGTTTATTTTCAAATTGAACAATTTAAGACTTAACTAATCCAAAAGAGTTATAAATTCCAAACACAATGTTTTCTCTGTGATCTAAGCAAGCCACATGCAAAGTAATTGCAATCAAAGAGTGGCCAGAATGATCTATCAGCTGTAATAGCTATGTAGCTACTAGGCATGGTTAAGTTCGGTCGGAATCTTTGTAATTCGGAATAAATTTGGAAAGATTTGCTATTTGAAGCAATTTAGAAGTTTTTGAGGAAACCAGGAGTCCCTTTGCTCTTCCGAAGCTTTTTCTGCCATTTCTGTTACAAAGCAGTAAGTGAGTCGGCAATGATTTAGCGTTTCCCCGGTTCTGGTCCCTGGCCTCGGCTCAAGCCTGGGAAGCCATTTTAAACCAGAGTGGATGAATTTCCTCCCTCTCCTCTCCCCTCGCTTCTGTCTCGAGCCTGGAAAGTGTTTTAAACCAGAATGGATGAATTTCCTCCCTTTGCTCCCCCCCGCCCCACTTCTGGAGTAAAACAAGTACTTTCAAAGTAAAGACCACCCAATGAAACAAGAAATAACACTTTCAAACTATTAAGGAAGGATTTGGAAGTCCCTGAAGTTTCAAAAAGTTTTGAACATTTTTTTCTGCGAAAATCAGAATTAACTTTAGAATCGAATCACCAGCACCCCCTACATTCAAAATGAGTTTTGACCTCCTTTTTTTTTGATCAAACAAGCCTAGTAGCTACATAGTGTCACCCAGACTGACTCCTCAATTCTTACTTATGAGGCATTGCGATTATTTATTTATTTATTTATTTATTTCACTTACTTATACCCCGCCCTTCTCACCCCGGGGGGGACTCAGGGCGGTTTACAGTGGAGGCACAATTAGATGCCCAAATCAATTGACAAATAGTACAAAATACAAAAACAATACAACAATTAATTGATGGGAGTCTGTTCCCCTGTCAGTCAATAAGCAGTTGACTGACCTTCCCACCTTCTTTCATGTGTGGTAGCCATGCAACAGGCATAAGCAGGGCCCCTGTCACAATCCCCCCTCATACTGAAGATTGTGTATGTAAAGGAGAGTAGGAATGTCAGTCAGCTGCATCCTGACAGTCAGGGGAATAGATGCCCATTGACTGTAGTGGCTGCTGCCCAGTAAGTGGGGACTGGAGACTTACACAGTTTCCATGTATTCCCTAAAGCAGTGATTCCCAGCCTTTTTTGAGTCATGACCCCATTTTATAGAGGCAAAGTGACCAGCATTCCTGATACATTAAAAATAGATGATCCATGACCCCGATGCATTAAAAATTAGGGCTGTTGATGCTGTTTCAGTGACAACTATGGTGTCTGGATCTTACAGCATTGCTTGGCTTGTGGTTGATTGCTCTTAGCTGGCTGCTCAGCTGGCCAAAGAAGAAAAAATATTGGATGTACAGATTCCTGGAAGCTGGATCATTCAATTTGTGTCGACATATGCTTTATTATATTTCGCAGAATTCACTGGTATCAAAGAAAAAATGTTGCCACCTGCAAGAAACAAGGCTAGGCATGCAGTGCACATGTATCACTATGAATCGACCAATCACAAGCCAATCAGCACCCACATTCCGTAGAACCAGTCACTGAACTGTGCATGAATCCAAACCTCACAAGCTCACCCAACAAATGAAAGACAGTTACATGTTTACACAAACAAATCTCTGTACAGGATGGGATGACATGATTTTTTTGTTTTCTCTTTTAAAATTTTTCATAGCTCATCACTGCACGGCAACCCCACAGAAAACCAAAGGGTCACCTCACAGCCCATGGGTTGGGAATCACTGCCCAAAAATCATATAAGAATAATGAATATGAAATAGTCACAAATGCACAAATAGTCACAAATGCATCATTTAATTATAGTTTTGTAACTGTCTTAGTGAATTCTGGCCAATAGTGTTTTTGTTTTATCTATCAGTTAATTGGGAAAAAAATCTTTCAAAATATTGACAGCTGGCCAGATAAGTCAAACCACCTTGAGT